TGGACGATGTGCTCTTGGTGCCGGAGCTGAAGGGGAACCTGATTTCGCTGAGGAAAATGGGGCTTGCAGGAGTATGCACTGCGACCAATGGAGCTGAAACCTTCAAAGGACATCATGGTGACCGGGTGCTGTGGGACTTGCACGAGGACAAGGACCTGCATGACGAGCTGTGGCACGTTCCGGTGGTGCCTTGGAGTGAGGTGGCACCTGAAAAGGAGAATGGGACTTGCAGCTGCAAGGGAGAGTGTGCTGCAATGGCTGGTGAAACGATTAAGACACTGAAAGTGACAGTAGAGATGCTGGTGCAGCAGTTGAAGCTGGTGAATGCTCGACTTGCAGCAGCTGAAAAGCGAAATAAAATAAGTGCTGATGAGAAGAACGGTGCTGGAACCCGGAGCAGTGAAAGCAAGGCTGCTGCTGAGAACAAAGAGAAGGGAGTGCACAAGTGTGACACTCGTGAGCAGCAAAAACCTAAAGACATGGTGCAGCTGCAGGGTGAAGCTGCTGAAGAGAAGCTGATGTTGCTGAGCTCAGGAGAGTCGGGAAAGCATACTGCAAAGAACCTGTCAAGCGTTGCAGGTGATAGGGGTAAAGGGACAGAGGAACCCGATGTGAAGCTGAGCAAGGAGGAAGCTGAAACTACATCGGATGACAGCGGCAATACTTCGGTGAGGCTGCAAGTGGTTGCAGCAGATGATGTGGAAGCTGAAATTGTGGGGGAGAGTGAGAGTGTCTTCCCTAAAACTGGTGTTGGGATTGGCAATGGGGTGGAGCTGATCGACCGTGAAAATCTGGAGTTAGATGAAAAGGCGGAGCTGTTGGGCAAGGATGTAAAATCTCCTGTGCCAATGATGGAAGTGGTGAAGGGAGTTGTCGAGTCCGTGAGTAACGAATGTGGGTTCGAATAGTCGGCAGGTTGTGGGGGAGTTTGTTGAGTGCAATACATGGTTTGCACGACAACCTACCACCTATTCGTCGACGTTGAGTGAAAGTGAGTTGTTTCGTTTGAAGGTAATTTGTTGTGTGTGAGTTGTGCATTTTCGTGCTTTACGTTTGAGTGTTTACGGCTCGTGAATCGCCTCAACGGTTCATGAGTTATGCGCGTTTTCGTGAAAGATTGCATTCCTGAGTGTTTGTGAATGTTCGTGTGTGAATGCGAGACTTCGTGTGCGTTTGCGTTGTTTCGCGAGTTGTCGTGAGTGTGCGTGAATTTTGTGTTTGTGCATTTCTGTGAATGCCGTGAGCTGTTCGTGAAGGTTGATATGCATTCATGTAAGTTCGTATGTTTCTTATTTTTTTGTGTGTGTTCATGAAGTGTCGTGAGTGTTCACGGAGTTGACTGCGATATTTTTCGCGTCAGTCAAGGTCAACTGTATGGGAAAATCAGACCCGCGCATGTGGTCCTGATTTCACGTGTGTGGGCCCTCAGGCCCAAGCGTGTGCCTTGCACTGTTGCGAGCGTGCACTGTGGGCACGATCGCAACAGGACAGGGCGAATGATCGCCCTGCCCACGCGCAGGACAGCGCACGTCAGTGCACTGTACAGCACGACCGAAATATCGGTCGTGCATGATTGCAGTCGTGGGGGTGCTTGGGATTACGGTTGAAAAACCGAATCCCGCGTTGACTCGGCTTACAGGTAATTTCGCGAGAAATATTGCGCGCGCAAAGGGACAATTTCGACACAGGGAAAAACGGTGGAAAACCGTTTTTCAACCGTGAGACTTCGTGAAAACGGTAATCCCACACGAGTGTTCATAATTGCCAACGAGAGTTCATGAGTACTCATGTGAGGAGTCAGCAGGGGAATTTGGCAGACATGAAATTTGAAGACAGTTATTCTACAAGGGAGAACCAAGCCAAATTCCGAAGCAGTTCGACAACTGTTTTCCTTGGCGCATCTGGCGAAGTCCTGAAGTCTAGTTAAACAACTGCTTTGTGCTTCTCCTATGCTTGTGTGTTAGGCGAAATATAAATGCGTGCTTGTGTTCAGTTGTCATCAATCCTTTTGAGTGAAGTTTTTCTCTATCATCGTATTGACGTGAAGAGAACTTTCTGCACACGACCAGTTCGTCGTCATAACGCTGCGCAAGGAGTTTTGGGAGTGCTCTATTGCACACGATTGCCTTTACACTTGGTGTGCCCCTCTACAAACACGGACCCTTGGTTAGGGGCTGGCTTTGCCAGGCACCCGAGGACCCTTGGAGGTGACCCCGTGGGGACTACTAAGTGTGAATTAAAGGTGTGCATTGGGCTTCTAGATCCCAATAGTAGTCAACACATGGTTGGTACTAAAAGTAAGTGCGTTACTTGGTTGGTACTTGGAGTAAGTGCATTACTTACCCATATTGCTGGTACTAAGAACAGGTGCTCTACTTACCCATACGGTTGGTAGTAAGCGTAGGTGCATTACTTACCCATATGGTTGGTACTAAATGTAAGTGCGTTACTTACCCATAGGGCTTGTACCAAGAGTAAGTGCATTACTTACCCATATGGTTGGTACTACGAGCAAGTGCATTACATACCCATCTGGATGGTACTAAGTATAAGTGCATTACTTGCCCATATAGGCTCTACCGTACAGAGGAACAGGTAAGGCGCCAGTGGACAGCTTGCTATACCCCCTTTTGCAGATCCTCTTGCTTGCCAAGCCAACCGTTCACCAGCAGCCTGATCGACGATCCCTCTTGGAGCCCTCTGCACCAGGCGATAAACCGCTGCGGGTACTTCATTAATGCCAACGTGTCAAAAAGGTAAGACTGTGATACTGATCTTAGGTGTTTTTTTGTATCCACTAATGACATGAACCTGTCCTTATTGTCGTTTTTTACCACCTCGAATATAACCGCTACTATCAAACCGCGTCTGATAATCTCTTTCCTGGCATGAACCCATACTGCTCCTCTCAAAATCACTCTGTTCAGCATCTTCTTTATTCGATTCGCCAGGACTCGCGCCAACACCTTGTACGTGCTGTTTGAGGAGAGTGATTGGCCGATAGTCCTGAATCTGCTCGCGCGCCTTTTTGTTATGCAACAGAATCGTAACCGCCACTTGAACCTTCTCAAGATGCATCGCAGTGGACACAATTTTCCGTAAAAACCCCATAAATGCGTTCCCCAGCAAGTCCCAATATTGTTCAAACAGCTCCTTCAGAAGCCCATCGTTTCTTAGGGACTTTCCGAATGCCAGTTCATTGAGCGCCAGCTGAAACTCAACTTCCGACAAATCTGCATCCAGGAGAGTAGCCTCGTTCTCGCTCAGTGTCATTTCCAGCTTGGGTGCCCAGCGCATTGCTCCACCCGACAGCACCCCCTCGAAGAGCTCTGCATTGTGAGACGTCGCCGCTTACAGTACCTTTCCGGTCACCTCTAAATTCTGCTCCATTTTGTTACGGCATCATACTTGACATCCTCTCCTTCCTTGTCTTAATGCGTGCAGGCAAAGTCTTGGAAGCATCTCCCCCACGAGCACCTCCCTCGAGCCCACCAAGAGCTGCTGTCGCTCCGGGTCTGCGTCAAAATACGCTGAGAGTTGCGACTGCTTCGTCCCAAGGTCCCGCATCTTTTGAACACATCCGGGTCCCTCATCACATCCGGTTGCAACGCCGCCACAGACTCCTCCAAGTGTCTCAGGGTTGCACGGGTCTGCTTCCGTTCATCCGTTGCATACCTCCACAGCGTCGGACTAAGCTTTTCAAGCCAGTCGTTGGAACCACCCTGCGTGTCTGAGTCGTGGTTCTCGGTGACCACGGCGACAACACGTTGGACGCCCGACTTTACCGCATCTGCCGTCTTCAACCACCATATGCCCGGTCCCATGTGCAGCTGCAAGTTGACGACTTTAATGACCACCCGAATGCCAAATCAGTGGTTCCAGATGCCTCTTGCGGGACGGACATGGTGAGCCACTAACACGTGAGGCGCCAAGTCGCTCGAGACTAGGGTCATGCCGATGCTGGAACTCGTCAACAAGGTTGTCGAGAAGAATGTGTCCTTCGCTCTCAGCAACCTAAACGCGTTATGGAGTAGCTATAGACTGTCATTTTCACCAAACGACCCGACCTTTGAGGACCTGTCCAGCACAGGATCCTCGACCAGATTAACATCTCCAGTAAGTACCGTCTCCCTTAGGAAATAAGTGCCCCTGCGCTTATAATACGGCATATTTTGGAGGGTGCGGTTATAATTTAGTAGAATGTATGAGCACAGGCGCTTATATAATGACTAACACCAATTCATAACTTAATATCACCAAAAATTAGATCTCGTCCTTGCCATTACATTCGAGTCGAATTAACATGGGGTCGTGAATGAAAATCTCTCGCAAGTTGGCAGGGAAAGATTCCCTGCCAGCACATACAGTTAATAGGCACAGCACATGCTGACTGTACGCACAGCCTGTGAGTGAGCCGAGGGTGAAGGGAAACGAATTTGGAACTCGTGAGCCTGCAAAGGCGAAATTCGTTGCAGTGATTTAACATAGTTTTATTAATTCAACATCACGTTCTTTTAGGGGGTGCGCTAATAATCGAGGACTGGCTAGAAGCGAAGTAGTCTATATACCAAAATCACACGGATAAAAGACCCTGGGGTCTTAATATATGGCATTGTGGGTCTTATCAGAAGGTTACTATTGTGTTTTTTAATCCAAACATCCTAATGGAATGTGATCCGTTTTTAGAACCAAAAAAAAAAAAAAAACAAAAAAAAAAAAAAAAAAAACGCGAATGGGTGTCCATGATCGCCGAAGGCGCGTACTTGAAAAATCCTGATGGGTGCCTTCTCCCATTGGCCATAAATTGTTGTTACCACGTCCAAATCTTGTGGGGAGGGCACCGTATGTTGGACCATCTCGGCACTCCCAACACATTCACGCTTCGAGGGTTGGGGGGAATGGTCCTGGTTATTGGAGCCTTTATAGCCTAGTGGTGGCACGTCTATGTCATCTGCACGATGCCTTGCTCTGCTCGGCAGGCTCTTGGTGAAGGCTTTAGGATGCTGTTAAATACCTCCTCTAAGAAGCAGCAGTTCATGTTTAGGGACCCGTACGCAATGGTGACTTCACAAGAGGCAGGCTGTCACCGTCGCCTTGGTGGTGCTGGTCGTAAGGCCAAGTGGCCGTTCGTGGAGAGGGCAGTCTACCACCAATTCCGTTTAAATTGTGCCAAAGGACTGGCGGTATCCGTGAGCATGGTACTTAAGTGGGCGACAGCCTACATGAAGCATCGCCACCCGCAAGTGAATTGACGCTCGTCCTCCTGTTGGACGATTCCCATAAGCTTGTTGTCGGTAAGAAATTTCCCGCATTCCGTAACGTAAGTTCGCACCCACTAAACCCTTCTTTGTGATGCAGATTGCAAGCCCAAAATCGAGTCCTTCTGGGAATTTGTGCAATAGATGCGCGTGCTGAACTCGTACCCCCCGAATTTAATCGTGAATGCAGATTTAACACCACTATTCCTCGAGATGGCTGCTGAGCGCACACTCGATATAAGGGCACACATACCGTGCATGTGCGTACCATGGGGTACAAGAATGGGCGTGTCACCGTCATGCTCGCTGTGAATATGGGCGGCATGAAGCTCCCTCCGCATGTGGTCTTCAAGCGAAAGACCGTGCCAAAGATCCCCGTGCCCCGAGGTGAGGTGTGCTTGTGTGGCCGTTATATGATAGTTTCTCCAATTAATCCACCGCCATGTTTTGTTTGATATTTGCAGGTGTTGTCATCTAAGCCCATGACAGGGGCTAGATGGACGAGCAACTTGTCCAAGAATGGACAAGTCAAGTGCCCGTCCCTTTCCTGAAGCCGCTGCGCGATGAGAAAGGACGGCGCAAGGAGGCGCTCCTCGTCCTTGACTTCTACGGTAGGCACATCACAGAAGTCGTCGGCCAAACCATGAAGCTATTCAAGCTTTCGCATGCAATGATCCCTTGTGGTTGCACCTCGCTGGTGCAACCGCTGGATGTTTCTATCTACCGCAGCTTCAAAGCCGGGGTTCGCCACCATTACAGCACGTGGTTCGAGGAGGAGGGGATTGGATTCACCACCCCGGAAGGTGAGCACATGTCCGACCTCCATTTATTGTTTGTCGGGGTCACACTCGTTTTCTCACCGTGCCCATCTACAAAGCTGCCACCGTCACGGAATTTGAAGAAACCCCCGGCCGAAATCGAACTACGCTGGATTGCCGAGTCCTGGGCCGACGTCCCAGAGGAGCTGGTAAGGAAGTCATTCCTCACCAGCGGCATCTCCAACGCCGTTGACGAGAGAGAGGATCATCTGATCCTCGCTCACCTGCAGGATAAGGCGGAGGCGGAGGTGGAGGTGCTGGAGGATGTGCATAAGGAGGAGCTGGACGAGCTCATCCCCAACCCCCTTTATCCTGACCCCGCGGCCGCCCCTGATGACAGCGAGGAAGACATGGTGGCGGAATTTGGAGTTGCACCGGCATTGGAGAATGATGATGATGAAGAGGAGGAGGAGGAGGAGGAGGAGGAGGAGGAGGAGGAGGAGGAGGAGGAGGAGGAGGAGGAGGAGGAGGAGGAGGAGGAGGAGGAGGAGGAGGAGGAGGAGGAGGAGGAAGAGGAGGAGGAGGAGGAGGAGGAGGAGGAGGAGGAGGAGGAGGAGGAGGAGGAGGAGGAGGAGGAGGAGGAAGGGGAGGAGGAGGAAGAGAAGGAGGGGGAGGAGGAGGAGGAGGAGGAGGAGGAGGAGGAGGAGGAGGAAGAGGAGGAGGAGGAGGAGGAGGAGGAGGAGGAGGAGGAGGAGGAGGAGGAGGAGGAGGAGGAGGAGGGAGGAGGATGGTGAGGAGGGTGTCAAATTGCACTTGTGCTTGTTAGGCTATAGTGGGGCACTCCATATGGGGTACAACACATTTTAGGGTTAGTACTTGTACCCCAATCCTTGCTAGTCAAATCATTTCGCTGTACTGTCATTCTGACATGCTATCATACGCTAGGTTAGGTCCGACTGCCGAACCTACTACCGAACCTACGATTAGGTTAGGTTTGTCCCGCTGCCCCGCGCCTCGAGCGCCACTGCCCCACTGTCCCGCACGTCGCGCGCCACTGCCCTGCTGCCCCCCGCGCCCCGCGTGCGCTGCTGCCCGCGCGCCCCGCGCGCCCTGCTGCCCTGCGCGCCCCGCGCGCCCTGCTGCCCCGCGCCACGCGCGCCCTGCTGTCCGCGCGCCCCGCACGCCCTGCTGCCCGCGCGCCCCGCCCGCCCTGCTGCATGCGTGCCCCGCGCGCCCTGCTGCCCACGCGCCCCGCGCGCCCTGCAGCCCTGCGCGCCCCGCGCATCCTACAGCCCTGCGCGCCCCACGCGCCCAGCTGCTCGCGCGCTGCCCTAGCTGCCCCCGGCTGCCCTAGCCACCCGCGCGCTGCCCTAGCCGTGAGCGCGCTTCCCTAGCTGCCCGCGCGCTGCAGCCGCCGCTCCTGCCATCGCTCTCACTACAAGCACCCGCTGCCATTACAGCTGCCACTGCCGCCCTTGCGCCACTCCCCGTCATGGCCACACTCCCGGTCTTAGTGGTTGACGCAGACGGACGCCCCTTCAAGTTAGGGTTGTGGCTTACGTGCCTTCGCATGTATCTCCGGCGTTTCATTATAGATAGCGTCTCCCTGCTTGAGCACACGTCGAGGTCCCTTCAGGCCCCCACGACTCCCACTGCGCCTTCTGCTGACGCTAATGAGGACGGGCAGTGGCGGTACTGAACGGACAGCCTTGCCTACACACGGTGGACGGAGCGCGACGTTGTCGCACAGCTTGCCGTCCGAGCTCACCTGACTGACGGTCGACCAGAGGGCCCACTTTTGTCAGGTGACGTCGGCCAAGACTCTCTACGACGCTGTGATTAGACACTACTTGTCCCTCTCTCCTGCCACCCACCCACTGCGACAGCGCCGTCCGTTGTTAGGGGAGGTGCAGCAGCTGGTCGAGGAGGCGAGTGTATGTACCTGTACGTCTCCTCCTGCAGGTGGTGCCGCTGGTGGAGGCGGAGGTTCTGGGGGTGGACAGCAGTGACAGCAGCATCAGCCGGAGACCCTCTCGCCGCAGCAGCTTCGGGAGTGGGTTTCCCAGGCACGCGTCCCTGGTAGTGTAGAGGCTAGTCTAGGTGCCTGTGAGCCTGCCAGCACAGGTGCAGCCCCTGCGGAGGCGTTTCACACCTTCACGCTTGACTCAAGCGTGTCTCGCTGCTTCTTCCGCGACTGCACCACAGTCACACCGCTCACTACACCTGTCCCGGTCATTCTGGCTGACCCCTCTGGGGGCCCAGTCTTTGCACGTGCCTCCACCGTTCTCCCGTGTCCGGCAGCCCCTTCCGGCTCACTCACAGGTCTCCACCTCCCCTCGTTCACTACGAACTTGGTGAGTAACGCTATCCTCCAGGACCAGTTGGTCACTACCACTACTCCTGGGAGTGAGCTTGTGGCGATCTGTACGGACTCACGGACTGGCGCTCACCTCGCCACGTTCACTCGGAGACCCGGGTCTGGCCTGTACACACTGACCACTGAGTCCGCACAGGTAGCTGCGTCCGGCCAGTTAGCTGTATCATACTCGTGTCGGTTACTCACGCACCCGTCTCTCCTCTGGCACCACCGTCTTGGTCACCCCTCCCTGCCGCGTGTACGTGGCATGCACTCCCGTCTCCTTGTCTCTGGCCTCCCCAGGTCCCTGCCTCAGGTCCCGCGCTCACCTGCACCGTCGTGCCTTCCCTGCGTCGAGGGGCGGCAGCGCGCCGCTCCTCACTCCTCCTCGTTTCCTCTGACGACTTCTCCTCTGCAGACTCTCCACATGGACGTGTGGGGCCCCGCCCGCGTCACTGGACAGGGCCGACACGCGCTACACCATGGTCTTCCTATTGCAGAGCAAGGCGGATGTCCGCAGTGTCTTGGTCCCTTGGATCCGCACTGTCCGTCGCCAGCTGAGCGCCCGGTTCCAGCAGGACCTCCAGGTCCTAGGACTGCACACTGACCGAGGTGGTGAGTTTTCCTCCCGCCTCCTTGAGGACTTTTGTCGTGGGGAGGGCATCGCCCAGTCTTTCACGCTTCCGGCCTCTCAACAGCAGAATGGGATTGCTGAGCGCCGCATTGGCTTGATCATGGAGGTTGCTCGCACCTCCATGATCCATGCGGCTGCTCCCCATTTTCTGTGGCCGTTTGCGGTCCGATACGCCGCGCATCAGCTCAACCTCTGGCCCCGTGTCTCCATGCCAGAGACCTCGCCTACACTGCGTTGGACGGGGGATGTTGGCGATACGTCGACGTTTCGGGTCTGGGGTTCGCTTGCCCTTGTCCGCGATACCACTGCGGACAAGAGTGTAGTACAATTCATTTGCTGTAGGTGGTGCACCATGCTTCTCCTTGCTGTATCTTGTACTGACCTTTCTTAGTCAAACACTCTTTGCTTTGGCCAACTTCCTCGTCATCAGGGCTCTCGATTGGTTTTGGGCCACCCTTTCTAATCAGGGTTATAGGTAGTCCCAAGCCTGATGCATAGGGTAAAATACTTTGTTCCCTGACAAATTCAGGGTTAAAAAATTATTAGTCTGTTTGGGCAGGGTAACTTTTCTGGCACACGTCGTTTCTCGTATAAATACCAAACGAAGTAGCGCAGTTCAACATTTAGTGGCTCAGTTGGTACGATTACGTCTTAGATCTGTAAGGTCGCTTGCTCGCTACGGAGCATTCGGTATCAGTATAGTTGGTTGTAATCGTACCCTGTACAATCAGAGAAATAAATCCTTTACGCTGTTTTTCAAAGGGTATAAAAAAACTTACAATTTCTGGCCTAGGGTAAAAATGTCAGATGTTATAGTCTTAGTGATGTGTGTCATATGGGGTCCAACAGTTAGGGTTAGGTTTATGTACCCCAACCAACCTTAGTCAACACCATCATTCCGTTCTTGACATGGTATCACCTAGGTTAGGATCCTATGGGATCCCGTTCCTCCCGTACCGTCTCCTAGCGCCTGTCACGCCGGTTCGTCTCGTACCCTAGCGCCCGTTGCGCCCGTATCGTCCCCTAGAGCCTGTCACGCCGGTTCGTCTCGTTCCCTAGCTCCCGTTGCGCCTGGCCTACCACGCCCGACGCCCGTAGCGCCCGTAGCGCCCGCAGCGCCCGTAGCGCCCGTAGCGCCCGTAGCGCCCTAAGCGCCCGTAGCGCCCGTAGCGCCCGTAGCGCCCGTAGCGCGCGTAATGCCCGTAGCGCCCGAAGCGCCCGTAGCGCCCGTAGCGCCCGTCCCGTCGCGTCGCGTCCCGTCCCGTCCCGTCGTCCCGTCCCGTCCCGTCGCGTCGCGCTCGTCCCGTCCCGTCGTCCCGTCCCATCGTCCCGTCCCGTCGTCCCGTCGCGTCGCGTCTGTCCCGTCCGTCGCGTCGCGTCTGTCCCGTCCCGTCTAGCTCGTCGCGCCCGTCCCGTCTGTCCCGTCGCGTGCGCCGTGCCTGCCCGTCCCGCAGCGCCACGCCGCGCCCGTCCCGTTCTGCCTGCCGCGCGGCGCCGAGCCGCGCGCGTCCCGTTCTGCCTGCCGCGCTTCGCCGAGCCGCGCGCGTCCCGTCCTGCCTGCGGCTCAGCGCCACGTCGTGCCCTGCCCTACCGTCCTGCAGTGCCTTGAGCCTCACCCACTGCCTGTCACGCCCTACTTAGGCCCTTTAGGCGTTTTAGGGTTTCGTCAGCAGCAGTTCCCACCTCTTCGCTTCCGCTATGGCGACCCCTAGGGTCCTGCGCTTTGACGCCGAGGGTAGGCCACTCGAGTTCTCGGTCTGGTCTCGGTCTCGGTGTGCGCCGCCTCCTAGAGAGTCAGGTTCAGGCAGACGAGTCTCTGTGGGCGCACGCTTCCGGTAACCTTCCTGCGCCCCCCGCCCCTGCACCCTTAGGCGCTGACGCTAGCACTGCAGACAGAGACCGTTACGCACACCAGCGTGCTGACTTGACAGCGTGGAAGTCGCGTGACGCTGCGGCCTGCATCGCCCTTAGCAGCCTCCTCCCTGAGTCCGAGGAGGCCCACTTTACTCAGGTTCCCACTGCTAGTGAGTTCCTGGCTGCGATCAAGGCCCGCTACGCTACTCCCACCACTATCTCTCTTGGTCGACTTTTCCTCCCGTTCCTGTTTCCTGACCTCGGCTCGTTTGAGCGCTCTGCTGACTTGATTGCTCACCTGCGCTCGCTTGATTCTAGCTACCGCGCTGCTTGCACTGACACGCAGCTTGCACTGCTCCCTCCCCCTATGGCGATTACTATCTATTTCATCGCCACTAGTCTCCCTGACCGCCTTGCCTCGGTTCGTGACGCGCTTCTTCTGAGTCTGCCCTCAAGGACGTCGAGAGCAACCTCCGCTCGGTAGCCTCTGCCTCTGGTGCTGTGCCCCCTCCACTGTTTCACGGGTACACTGTCCCTCAGCTGCCCACCTTTACTGCCTCCCTCGCCACTGCCGCTACTGACGTGACCGCAGCTGCTGTTACGACTTCTTCGCGGTCTAGGGGTAGGAGTGGCAGGAGGGGCGGTCAGGGTGTGGGCGGAGGCGGCGGAGGCTGTGGGGGTGACGTGGCGAGCGGCGGCGGCGGGAGTGCAGGGACTGGAGGAGCGCCTCGTGCAGCGGCCGGTGACTCCCCTGCTGCAGCTGGTGGAGGTGACGCCCGGGTTCGTCAGCCACCTACTAGTCTGCCAGCCGCAGGGGGTGGAGCAGCGGCGTGGTACCTGACTCAGCGACAGCAGCAGCAGCAGCAGCAGCAGCAGCAGCACCTCCCCTCGCAGCAGCCACAGCAGCAGCAGCGGCAGCAGCAGGTTTCGGGGCAGGGGTCAGGACAGCG